GCACTTAAGCAAAAACCTCAGCGCTTGATGCGCTTGTTATATAAGATCTACATTTGATTGTCGTTCCCAATTGTGATAGGACTCGCAAATGAACACCAAAATGGGGGAGCTGGCACTCCCTTCACGTCTTTGCCTGGTGCTCATATTTAGCAAAACACAAACTGTTACTCTCTCTATTCTTCTACGCTATCTGCCAGCAAGCCTCTCAATCAGCCATTCACTCGAAGGTTGGCAGTGGCAGCCCTGCCACTGCCGATCTAAAGATTGCCTTGCCGACCACTGCACGAGCTTGAAGGGGGGGGGGGTCACCCCCACCACAAAAGATCCCCTCCCTTAAGGCCTTATTTCACCCCCGGAAAATTAACTTCCGGTGGGGAATGGTGCAAAACTCACCAAGCTCCTCTCCGGGAAAAGTGTCCACCTCGTCCACAATCCAACTCTCTTGAAACGAAATATCAAAGTAGAAATAACTCCAAAAACTCGCTAATTAAAATATATTACGAATCGAAATGTCCCGTCACATGAAACTTCAACTTGACTTGGTGCAACTTGGCACTTTTGAAATCGTGCCATCATCCAAACAGTACATCATGACCACTTGGAAATAGTGCACAGTCAGAGCCTGACCGTACACAAGCTACCGCATTTTTGAGGCCGGCTGAGGCGAGTCCAATGTTCAGCAAGCTGCGTATCCTCCGCAGTTGTAGCAAAGGTATCCACTAGAGCTCTCACATCTAGTGTCATTCAGCAAATGGCTCCCAGGAATCCGCGATATACTCGGGACCACGCCAGCTAACGTAGCGTTCGTAGCCCTTTCATTGTACATTCCAATGGTACTGCTTAATCGTGTCCACATCGAGCACAACACCTTAGCGAGTCACGTGTTGTAGCAATTATCCAGTTACTTCTAGGTCACTATCGGCAAAGAACTTCAACCGTGACGCGTGCCCGTCACGTGACTTGCCGGTCACAAAGTCTTTAACCACAAAATGTCTCGAGTGAGCCTCCGTCACCACGTACGGCCCTACCCAAGTAACTAGAAGTTTGATCACTAGCTTCTCATCCACTCTAGAACGTAGCACAAAATCTCCAACCGAAAAATTCACTAACTTTTCTCTACGTTCCTTCTTCTTGTTCAACAAAGTTTGCTTCTTCCTCGCATTACTGACATCTATGTGCTTATTGTGAATACTAGCACGTAGCTGCGCCAGCGAGCGCTAAATTTTGTCAGAGCTCCCAGTTTCAATGATCTCACCTTGCCCTTGTTTGTGTACGAAAACGTGGCCAAAAGGTGACGGCGGCGGCAGCCCCGTAAATAGCTCTAGTGGTGACTTGTAGACTAGCGAGGGTA